AAACATTTGTAAATTGTGCTGAAATTGCACATTCTTCATATCCTCAGTGTATTGGTTTTGACAGTTGTTACTTGGTCAGGTTTGACTAACTCCAGTGGTTTGTGGCAAGCTTTGCCTCACCACACACCACAGCCTAAATCACACAGGATTGTGTGTGCTGGTGTATTTGATGAGTTACAACAGGGAAAATGAAATATGAGAAATATTTTTGTCAGTTGTGTGTGATTTATTATTATTTTAATTCATTTTTATTTAGTTTATTTTTTTAATTATTATAACCAGTGAATATGTAGATAAACACAGGATGCACACAATGCCTGTGCTGTTAATTTTGTCTTGAATTAATGTGATGTCAGTCATTATTGTCAACGTGCATTTGCTTAAAGTTGGCCTGTTAATAACTAAACTTGCAGCTGTAAGGTCAGAATTTATGATAGCAAAAGACCAGCTGTGACGTTCTCAATAAAATGCTCTTTGCAATAAAAAAAACCTTTCATTGTAATTCTATCTATCAATCTATCAATCTATCTATCTATCTATCTATCTATCTATCTATCTATCTATCTATCTATCTATCTATCTATCTATCTATCTATCTATCTATCTATCTATCTGTCTATCTGTCTGTCTGTCTGTCTGTCTGTCTGTCTGTCTAATCTATAGGCTACATGAATTTGATAAAAACTGACAAAATATTAAGTAATATCCCAGATGTTTCTTCATTTTGAATTTTTAAAAGAAATTTACACTCAAAACATTTTAATTGGTGATACAATTATATGTTTATTCCTCAATATCAATTCATACATTTTAGCAATATCATTTTAACAACAAAAAAAAAATCAATAATGCCATAATCCTCCAGGAAGTAACATAATTTTTGGAGGACATATAACCATGCAAACATTAGCAGTTTATTTAATGACCTCTGTGATGTTTTGTGCTGTTTGTTTGTACATTCTGTGCCGTTCAAAGTACAAAAATTTACACTCAAAACATTTTAATTGGTGATACAATTATATGTTTATTCCTCAATATCAATTCATACTTCTTTTTTTTTTAGCAATATCATTTTAACTAAAAAAAAAATCAATAATGCCATAATCCTCCAGGAAGTAACATAATTTTTGGAGGACATATAACCATGCAAACATTAGCAGTTTATTTAATGACCTCTGTGATGTTTTGTGCTGTTTGTTTGTACATTCTGTGCCGTTCAAAGTACACATTGTTAAACTGCCGTTAATTTTTTCTTTTTTGCCATCGTATAAATAATCAAGGTATAGTTAATTAAGTTTCAGTGCCTGTGTTTGGCCAAAATATATTTCTAAAAGACTGAAATAAGTAGCCTACTTTCTTTAAACGACTTAACAAGCATTCTTTCTTTCTTTATATCTAAAGATATTGCATAGCATGAATGATCCAGCTGTTAAGTGTAGAATGCAACCGCACAATGATCAGGTTCGTAGCTTACAGAGCACATGTGAGCAGATGTTGGGTCAGGAGGAGGAGGAGGAGGAGGAGGAGGTGATTCAGGCGGGTGTGTTCAGTGACGTACGGACTCTCAAATAAGTACGAGCGTCCAGTGACCGACAGAGCAGAGCACACTTTAACATATATCCTCCTGACAGCTCATTAAAACATTGGCCATTTCCCCATTACACAGGCTTTAACAGCCATCAAATAAAGCTATAAAATTCTCTTTTGGGATTCTTTTCGACTCAGAAATCAAGCCTTACAGTGGACCATCTGATGATCAACTAAACATCGATTGCACCAGGTAGGTTCACTGTCTTGCATCTCCCGTTTATAGTCATGCGGGTAAACTTTCGTGCTTTATCAATCGCATTGCAGTGTTTCATTCTGCGCGTGTGTTTGCTTTCAGTATGCGTGCAGTGTTCACTATAAAATGACGCAAGCGGGTTAATTAATGAAAGAATGCAGAACATTTTATTCATTCACTTTTAAGCGGCGCTACGAGCCATGAGGATGAAAGTTGTAACCCTCTGAGACCCAAGCGTTGAAACTGATATTTTTCTTCACAATGAAACAAACCACTCATTATAAAATAGTGACGATCATTATGTACTATGTAGCTATATTTTTCTATTTCACAGTTATTTTACTCAGCAAGTAAGCTAGGTTTGGTTTAGAATATTACATTACAATATTACATGTACAAGATTAGACTACAGCTGGTGAACAGAAACCTGACTATTTTGACTGTTGTTTTCAACTGATATAATCAACTGAATAATAAAACTACTCTCAGGGATCATAGTTGCATAGGCCTATATTTATTACCATTTAATAGAAAATAACACTTGTTTTAAGTGCATAAGACAAAAATGTCAGGAACAGCACAGAAAACTGCTAGAAATCATATAAAATAGTTTACTTATGGCTCAATGAATGTGCCACGTTAATCTGTTGTACAGGTCAGCTGCTGTTATGTGTAGTTTTTAATTTGTGACTGAGATACAAGTCTATAAGTACAGTAATACATAGCCTACTTTTTAGATTTCCATGAAATACGATAATAGTTAGTATCATCCACTGAAGAAATAAGGAATACACAAAAATGACCTCCAGCAGCATTTTGCGCAGTGACTGTGGTGGTCTAATAAATGTAGATCTACCTTATGGTAATGTAGATTAAGTGAAATGCACGTCATTCTGCATAAGACATTCTTAAATATAACATACTGTGTTTACCATTTATTTATTTGGTAGATGATTTTATCCAAATTGCATTCAGTTTAGTCCTTGCATTCCCTGGGAATCAAACCTATGACTTGCTGTTGTTAACACAGCGTTCTGCTGTTTAAACTATAGCACTGCATTTTAACATGCACTATATTATTAGAAGGTTCATAGTCTGAAGGGTTTGCATTACTCTCACCGGTGGTCTACCCCCTTGTTCCCACAACTCCTGCGCAGGGCATGGTTTCCGTCGCTCCTTCTCTCCCTTATCCGTTTTCCGCCAGAGAAGGGAGTGAGAGGGGAGATCACACCGCGGCCTTGGGCTTTTGTTTTTGGTATGCACTGCTGGCCAGACTGGTTGTCAGGAGAGAGTTGATGCAGGCAGCTTCAGTCTGTCCCGCTTTCCAAGTCTCCTCCTTCTCTCTGTCTTCCGTTCTATCTTCGTCTTTCTTAGCCTCTTCTCTGAAGAATTATAGGAGTTAGAGGGTTTGAGTTTACTGGGCTTTTAATGGGAAGAATAGTTTCCCCATTATCGGAATGGTGGGAGTGAATAGAGGATTTTACAGTAGGTGTTTGTCTAACCTCTACAGCTGGTGAAAAGGTCATCCATAGTGACATTTCTGTAATTGATATGAAGTTAGCACTTTACATAAAATTTACACTAAGAAATGGCAGCTGTAAATGCCAGAAATTTACCATAAAAATACAGTATTTCCAGTGTTACCCCATGGCATATTGCTGCTATTCTATTTCTGTCATTTTGCAGGTACTTGTGCTCTGTGCAGGGTATGTTTTGGCCAGTTGCCTGTCTGCACTAAAACAAGGGTTCAAAAGTCCTCGGCCGACTCACTGTTGGCAGTCTGGAGAGACAGTGTGGCTAACTGCCTCTCACGCAAGTACAGTCTACAACACTGTGTAGGTAAGGTTTACTTTCACAGAAGTCTAAGAACTAACGTGCCATTAGACAGCACTGTAAAGAGCTGAGAGAAATAAAAATGTGTCTTCATGCCTCGATTCATTTTGATGGATATTCTGTGTAAGAGAAATGTAAATGCTCCTGAGGCAGATCTTTAGGCCTTTCCGAATGCAACTTAGTTTCATACCATCACTGAGCTGTACGCAACAGGCTGAAAGTTTATTAAACTGACCTAAAATAGGCAGATATGCAAGACACGCAGCTGCTTTTCAGTGTCCACAAGCTAATAGTTTCAAACAAATATATGCTCCAGACATATAGCAGTGATTCTCACATGGGAGAAGTGGGTTCGGTTCTGGCTGGTGTCATGCAGCGATCAGACTCCCCTTCATTTCCTGTCCACTTACTGTCTCTATCATCAAAAATCCAAACAAATGGCTGACCTCCACAAAGCCGTAATAAATAGTGTTCACTCGAGACCCATAACTCGGAAGGTTACTACAACTGTACTTGCTTTAATGTGAAGGGAGTGTTGGCAAGGCCAGACAGGAAAAACGCTCACACACTGTATAAAGTCTTAACGGGGACAACATGCCTTTGCTCCACACTTTCAACCCAAGTATCCATTTCATAGCAAACACATATGCAAGTAACAGGCAGTACCTGCTTAGTGTTTATTGTCTGAAGGAACCAGTATTTCTTCCTGGAAAATATTTCGTTTGTACGTTCATTTCACAGGATGTTGCCAGCTAACATTCTTCCATAAATCTTAAAATAACTACAAGCTGAAAAAAATATCACGTTAAATTGCTCTTCTTTCTCTCCAGAGCTGAAGAATGATCTATAGTTTCGGGAGAATGGACAACAAAAACAGCCACACAAAAGAGTGGAATAGGATTACTCAAGATGAAGAAATTTGCTGTTTGCTGTGAAATTCTCAGTTTTTGCAGAACTCATTCGGAGTACAATTGTTTGGTTTTATCTAGTCGGAACCACAAAAAAGGAGAAAACTTTGATTTTTACAAAACAATTTCAGAATTGATAAATTGCTGGTCATTTGAAAACTTTACTATTTGTTTCGATTGTGAATTTCAAAAGCTTTTTTGAAATGTAACATGCAGCGAGAAATTCTGACAGCATCACCACATGCACCCATTCCCATGAAATCTGTGCCACAATGAAATGTACAGTTTCCACTTTACCATTTTCTCTTTCTAAACATTACATTTGCAACGCTCGCTTTTTGCAAAAGAAAAACAGCATCACACTGATGCCCTCATCAACTGTAACTATTGATGACATTGTCAGAACAAACGGATCAAATTCCTTCACTTACAAAACGACCGTATGAACAGTCATTGCTAAAGATGAGAGGTTTGTATGCGATGGGAGCAAAGACTAAATTCTGGACCAAAGCCTCAGAAGAACTGAATTAAGCCTTTTTTTTCAGTCAGAACAAGGACTTGTGATTGCCACACTGCAGTAATTCAGGACAGTTGGATGTTTTGTGTGCATCCATTACTTTTGACAAAACAGATCATGGAGCAAAATGTTTTTAAAAAAAAAACTGCCTTCCTTCGTCCTGCTCTCCACCCAGTAAACCCCTTTAACACCATAAAGGCCTTGTATAAAACCTTCATACATTTTCTAGAGACAGCTCAATCTATTGCTACTATTCCACTGTGAAAACCTTTCTGGTTGTAAGATGCACCACAACTACCAAAAAAAAGTACTTGTGATATTGCACTTTAATAGTTCTCGGACATATCTGAAGCAGTGTTTTGAGAATCAAGAAAAATGAAAATATTGCAGTGCCAATAGTGATTATACCCTATACATTTTGGTTTAAGATGACGGTTATAAAAAAAATAGTATCCATGGATTAATTGATATAAAACCAAACGTACCTTAAAGATTAGAAGCAAAAAATTAGATGTTACAAGTACTTAATTTTAATAAATGCACAAAGTATTTATAAATGTTATTGTATCTACCGGCAGCCATCTGAATTGTGACTGTTTCTATATGAAGCGCTAATATTGATTTTACAATTTTTTGGCAACTAAGCATTAAAGACCAGATGGAATACAGATTTGTTGTAGACTGTTTATTTTTAAACACAGAACAAATTTTAATTTGTGAAATGTTTTCGAAATGTACTTTCTGCACACGTCTTTGTGTTCTACCTTGCAGTTCATATGCAAAAGATTGTTATTTACAAAGGGGTGTATTAAAATGTTTCCATGTGCATTTGACATTTTTAAATAGATTTCTGTTTTGGGCTTTGCAAATGTGAACAGTTAATTCAGACCATATCAAATTTAAAAACGAGACCACAATCTCTAAATAAATAGCAGCCATCCATCATGTCACCACAAATTGTGGCTGAAGAGTCAATCTTTTCCAGTTTCAAACGTACAATCTTTAATCAGTGCCTGATGTGCTTAAATCTAGAAATATTTCAAAAAATTGTCGGTGATTTTCATTCAAGCTCATACAATGATATTTTTCTTTACAGCATTGTGACCAAAAAAAAGAAATAATTAGATCACATCAACAAAATTCTTAGTATGGCTCTCAAAGGGGAATAAATAGTATAAAATCAATTATATAAATACAACCGTTAAAATATTGCTTGGACAAAAGAGAGGTGCTTCGGATGTTTGAGACATGAAAACAGCTCTGTTGATTGAACGTGAGAACAGTTGATGAGAGACTCATGTGGGAGGGGGACCGTTGGTGTAGCGTAACATGGGGTGGAAAGAACGGGCAAAATTGTTGGAAAAGGTGCAGCTGTAGTCGTCTTCAGAAAGAGGGACCAAGCAGGCCAGAACCAACAGCAGGAGGAACAGGAGATGCAGAGGGAAAGCCGCTCGCAGGACCCGATAGAAGAACGAACGCGGAGGTGATGGGTCACGCTTTGACCTGAAACAAAATTATTTTTAACAACTCTTATCGCCTTTGAAACATAAATACATATGTATACTGTGTTTATGCATTTTTGGCTAATATAGTACAGTGGTGTGAAAAAGTGTTGGCCCCCTTCCTGATTTCTTTTTTTTTTTGCATGTTTGTCACACTTTAATGTTTCAGATCATCAAACAAATTTAAATATTAGTCAAAGATAACAAGTAAACACAACATGCAGTTTTTAAATGAAGGTTTTTATTATTAAGGGAAAACAAAATCCAAAACTACATGGTGTGAAGAAGTGTTTGCCCCCCTGTTAAAACTGGTTTATCACACCTGAGTTAAATTTCTCTAGCCACACCAGGCCTGATTACTGCCACACCTGTTCGCAATCAAGAAATCTCTTAAATTGGACCTGCCTAATATACAAAAAAATAATAATAATAAAAGGAAAAAATAAAAAATTGTGTGTGTGCCACTATACCGAGAGCATTGTGCGGACTTCCTGTCTCCTGTGGACTCCTGCAAACACATGACATACAAGAATTCAGCACTTCACCACAAATCAAAACTACTCAACCAGATCATATCGCTCTAAATTATGAGCATGTTATACACTTTTGATTTCAATATTATTTATATATGACAGCAACGGCCTCATCTTAGTTAATTATATTTGTTGATATGGTGGAATGGGCAAAATACTCTCAAAACAAAAATTTTTAATTTTGTGGTGGGTGAGATTTTTTAAATGTTTTTGAAATATGTCTCATATGCTCATCAAGACTGCATTTATTTAATCAAAATACAGTAAAATATACTTTATATATTTTAATATACTGTATATTTAGTTTTATTTCAATATATTGTAACAGTCATTATTCCAGTCTTCAATGTCACATGATCTTTCAGAAATCATTCTAATATGCTGATTTGCTGCTCAAGAAACATTTGCTGCTTAATATTGTTGTAGAAGCCTTTGTGATTTTTCAGGAGTCTTTTATGAACAGAAAGATTAAAACAGAACATTATACATGTATTTACTGTTACTTTTTATCAACTTGCTGAATAATTAATTTCTTTGTTTTTTCATTAAAATCTTTTGAATGGTGAATATATATATATATTAAAAAAAGAGTCTGTATGAGTTTTTATTTTAAATGCACTTCTGAGGGCTGAAAATATTAAAGGTTTTGATCAATACTCAAGGTTCAAAAATTTTAATTGACTATTAATTGATCTTAGGCTAAGCTCCGCCCCCTCAATCAATGGAGCATTGCAGAACATCCCATAGGAACCATCTGGGGATTTACATGAACAGTTCCTTTTTTAGAAAAACTTACTCATAAATTGGTTATTTATTTAAATGAAAATTATTCGTCCATGTGTTGGAATGAAGTAATACTGTAAAGCTTTTATTATTTTTTTTTATTTATTTTTTATTTTTTTAAGTATAAATACAAATGTGTTGTATCCTTAGCAGGAAGTGAGCTTCCCTTTAATTTTTTGTGTGTAGTGTAAATGGATGAAGAATGTTTTGCATAACGCTCTTACCAATCTCTCGTCAATCGTCTGGAGATCCTGGTTGACTTGACGTGACAGTAGTCTTAGTTTGCTTCCAATGACGTGGAGTTTTTCCCGGGCTTCAGTGCTGTCCTCCCCACCAGCCTCAGGGAGCAGCTCGGAGACGATCTCCTGCAGGGAGCTCACTCGCTTCTGTCTGCCCTGCAGTTCCTCTGCCAGATCCTGCCACCAGGGGGTGCAAAACATAAGCTCGGCACACAGATAACAACACAAACTAGAGGTCAGTCTTGATGGAGAAGCTGATGTTATTCTGGTTTGGGTTTCTCTGACTCACCTTCAGGGTGTTCCTTTGTTCCTGAAGCATGGAGGGCTGCACAGAAGGGTCGTTCATGTTCACTATGCAGCGTCTGCTCTCTGCATGGGCCAGCCATAGCAGTTGAGAGTGGACCATCTCGTGGAACTCCTACACGAGTGCAGATTGTCAGTGGTGAGAGATGAAGTGTCATGTGGCATTTCCAATGAGGTCTTGTATAAATGTTTGACAGATCTCTCACCTGACAGCATCCTAGGGTAGTGCGCAGACTGTCCTCCCACCTCTCTAGTCCCGCACAAGCTTCTGTCCAGCGGCCATTCATGCTGCGCAGACCCTCCTGAAGCTCAGGTGCTCCTTCTGTAGCTCCCTGCTGCAGCTCTCGCCCACCCAGGTTCAGAGACAGCATCATAGTCTTGTAGCGAGCAAATGTCTTCTGCATTTCCTGTGCAATGTGGAACGAATTAGAGTGTGAAGACAATATCTTTTCCTTTCCAGTGTCTTTGTATTAATAATCTAAAAGATTGGCTGTAACTTTGATGCTCACTTTAAGTTGTTTGCCCCTCTCTTCTAAGATCTCGACACTGACAGCAGTCTCAGGCTTCTGCAGTCTATCCAGTTCAGGGGTGACACGATCCAGCCAGGAAGTGATGTTGTGCAGGCCAGAGGTCAGCTGCTGGGGGTCTCTGGAGCTGCACTGCTCTTTACTTACTGCTTGAGCCTGCAGCAGCTCCCAGCGCTCAATCACTCCTGCGGAGAACATGAACTTCATTAAGTGAAAGAGAGAGAGAGATATATATATATACATCCGTCCATTCTTATCCTGTCTATCCATCCACCAACCCATCCCTTTATTCATCTACTCATTTTCAAACTCTCCATCCATGTATCTATCCACCTAGTCAACCTTTCATCTATTTTTCTATCCAACAATTAATTAACCTTATGCATTCCTATGTTTGTTTGTTCTCTTATCCACATCCATCTATACCCAACTATCTTTCCATCCGTCCATCCATCTTTCAATTTAACTATTCATCCATCACCTATCCCTTCATTTGTCCAACCACCTATCTATAGATATATATCTACCCATCTATTTACCTAACTATTCTTCCATCAGTTTATCCACCAATTCAGTCATCTGTCTACACATATATCTACCCAACTGTGTGCAACTATCCAACAATTCATCCAGCAATTAAGTTTTTTCCACCTATCCACTCATCCATCTAAACCCATCCATCCATCCATCCATCCATCCCTTCATTTATCTAACCACCTATCTACCTAGTCATCTATTTACCTAACTATTCTTCCATTCACTAATTCATCCATTCATTTTTATATCTACACAACCGTTCCTCAATTTGTCTACGCAACTATCTATCAATCAATTCATTAAAGGGATAGTTCACCCAAAAATTAATATTTCTTGCATTAATTACTTTATTGCAATAATAACAATTTATTCAGCAATTCTTCTCCCCAAGTTACCGTCTTCTGCCATTTTGGAGAGTACCCCAGAACGTAATCAGTGTTAATTATGTTCAGCATGCGCACGCTGGCTACTGAACGTAAACTACACTGATTACATTCTGGGGTACTCTCCAAAATGGCAGAAGACAGTAATTGCTGAATAAATATTGTTGAATATTGTTTTCTTTGCGCACAAAAAGTATTCTCGTAGCTTCGTAAAATTACGGTTGAACCCCTGATGTCACATGGACTATTTTACCGATGTCCTTGCCATGTTTCTGTGCGTTGATCGTGGTAATATCCTTGCTGTCTATGATGGGTCAGAGAGCTCTCAGATTCCATCAAAAATATCTTAATTTGTGTTCTGAAGATGAACAAAGGTCTTACAGGTTGGGAACGACATGAGGGCGAGTAATTACTGACAATTTTCATTTTTGGGTGAACTAGCACTTTAATCAGCTTGTTTTTCCACCTATTCACTCATTCACCCATCAATTCCTCCAAGTCTATCCAACCATCCATTAGTCCATAAGTTTATCCACCTATCCATCGGTCTTGTTACCCATTTACTGCCCATCTATCCATCCATACGTACATCCAATTTATCTACCTATCTTCTCCTGTCTACCTAGCTATCTATCCATCCATCCATCTATCTATCTACCCAACTATTCATCCATCCATCATCCAATCTACCTTTCCTATCCACCAATCCATCCACAATCTACCTTTCCTATCCACCAATCCATCCACAATATACCTTTCTTATCCATCCATCCATAATCTACCTTTCTTATCCATCCATCCATGCATGAATCAGTTTATTTACCTACCTATCCAACTATGCATCCATTCACTCATTCATTTATCGATGCATCAGTTTGTTTACTCTACTCCATCTATCCATATGAGGGCGAGTAATTACTGACAATTTTCATTTTTGGGTGAACTAGCACTTTAATCAGCTTGTTTTTCCACCTATTCACTCATTCACCCATCAATTCCTCCAAGTCTATCCAACCATCCATTAGTCCATAAGTTTATCCACCTATCCATCGGTCTTGTTACCCATTTACTGCCCATCTATCCATCCATACGTACATCCAATTTATCTACCTATCTTCTCCTGTCTACCTAGCTATCTATCCATCCATCCATCTATCTATCTACCCAACTATTCATCCATCCATCATCCAATCTACCTTTCCTATCCACCAATCCATCCACAATCTACCTTTCCTATCCACCAATCCATCCACAATCTACCTTTCCTATCCACCAATCCATCCACAATATACCTTTCTTATCCATCCATCCATCCATCCATCCATAATCTACCTTTCTTATCCATCCATCCATGCATGAATCAGTTTATTTACCTACCTATCCAACTATGCATCCATTCACTCATTCATTTATCGATGCATCGGTTTGTTTACTCTACTCCATCTATCCATCCATCCATGAGGTGGCATGATGTAATTATATGCTATTTTGACAAGAAGCCTTCGTGCTTTTAGATTCATCTAAATGAAATGACAAGTAGTCCCTTGCACATGTGATCTGCGTCAGTGCCTGTACCCGGCTATTTGTGAAGAGTCTTATTACATGACTCACTCAGGACGAGTACCAGAGAAGACATCCTCATGTCCCTCTGTGTTGGTCTAAGTGTCCGTACCTGACTGTTTGTCTGCAGTGTTGAGGCCAGTGAGGCCTTGTTCCTCCTGCTTTTCCTCATCATCCAGGATCATAGAAACCCGCTTCACACTCTTAATGCTGCCGCTACACTCAGACATCAGCTGGACCTGCACAGTGCACAAACACATGCACCATTATAATCACCCTTCATGCAGGAACTACACGTTTATGCTTTCAAAGTCTGCCTGAGGAAGAAGACAACTTGCAAATTTTGTGTTTATGAAACTGCTGGATTAAAAAGGAAGGGGTATATACTCACGTAGCCTTGTTTAAAAGGAGTGCTGGTATGTGTGGGTGAGGAGGAGTCCAGCTGGAAGGATTTCCTTTCAGGTGTGTTTTGAAAGTGCCAATTCTGTGCTGTGAGTTTGTGAGAGAGGGAGAGAGATTTAACTCGGTGCTCAAAACAGGCTACTTCATTTGGGCTGTGATGACAGAAATGGACAAAAGAAGTGGAATTATTTAGCTTTTGCAGGGATCACGAGGAATCAAATCAGACATTAAACTGACAGAGGCTGTTATTGTAGGATAGTGAAGCTGGAACTATACTGAATCCAAAAGTAAATCGACAGCCTATGTCCTAATGGACCAAAGCTGTTACTCAGAGGCAAAATGGCTGTTTTTTAAAAGCAGAGGGGCAAAACCAGACCATTTATTCTAAGGATAAGAGAGCATCAAAAATGTCATGAAAACATAATAAAATAATAATCACGAAATAATAATCATGTTATTGCAATGAAAAACAATTATAAGTGGATTTCAGGAAAAAAAGTAAAAAAAAAAAAATCTAACAAAAGCATCAAACAAATTTTGTCATGTACGCTTCTCCGGTAATGAGCAAAGCTTCAAGAGTGCAGTTTAGATAAATGAATGTTATTATCTTCTGCGTGAGCATGAAAGCTCTAGAGGGGGATAAGCAGGTGCACTGAGCCATGTGAGAGGAGGGGATGCAACCTTCCTGTGCCCTCTCTTATACTCCCTGAGATCTGGACATGCCCAGGTCTCAACCCTCCTCTTTACCAACAGAATCTCCCCACAGGCCCAAGTCTTTCATGATAAGAGCACATAGCAGAACAGGGTGAAGGGAGGACACTTTCATCTTTTGATTTGAGAGAAAGTTCTGCGCTGAAAAATACCAGGCCTTTGATGATCCAGCAAACCCAGTCTATTCATAAGCATACCGACAGTGATGTGGGAACAAGACAGGATGGAGAGGGAGAGGGAGAGGGAGAGGGGATGCAACCTTCCTGTGCCCTCTCTTATACTCCCTGAGATCTGGACATGCCCAGGTCTCAACCCTCCTCTTTACCAACAGAATCTCCCCACAGGCCCAAGTCTTTCATGATAAGAGCACATAGCAGAACAGGGTGAAGGGAGGACACTTTCATCTTTTGATTTGAGAGAAAGTTCTGCGCTGAAAAATACCAGGCCTTTGATGATCCAGCAAACCCAGTCTATTCATAAGCATACCGACAGTGATGTGGGAACAAGACAGGATGGAGAGGGAGAGAGGGAGAGAGAGAGAGAGAGAGAGAGAGAGAGAGAGAGAGAGAGAGAGAGAGATACTTATGTGGAAAGAAAGTAAGGAGAAACTGAACAGATGTGAATGCAATGCACCAAAAAAAATGAAATAAGATTTTGCAGTAATGCACAACTAAAGCCAAGTGCACATAAAGGGACATGGAGGCCAACCTAAAGGCTCTTCCAAAGACTTCTTTGTCACCTCAGATGAGAATTCTGTGATTTCTGTGACCTCTAAATCTGGAGGGAGAGACAATGAATGGCTAAACCAGTAATATGACAACCCGTTCCAGCAGTCAAGAGTCCTGGGAAAAAGTCTCAGCCTCAGACAATGTGCCAACGGACATAAAACTGGCAAGAGCTGGTTAAAACTGTCAGTTGCAATCTGACAGCTAAAACATTTATTTGAATTATATCTGACTCCAGATTTAGGCTTATGGAAAAAAAATCATGTGGTTACCAGAAAGAAAGTCAGATGGCCATTTGTCAAAGCTGGCGATTCATGGCTTTATCAAGTTGCTCAAAAAAGTCTGGTTAAATAAACGTGTGGTGAAATTAGCAAAATTTTAGTGAAATTTTGCAGGTAAAACGGCCCATTGAAGAAGTTACTTTCAAACCAAGCAGCATTCTGTTGGTCAATGTGACGAAACCATGGGACCAATTTGAACCCATTGTAAAATCTTTCACCTTCACGCAGAATTCCTGTTGAAATGACTGGATTTCGCTGAACAACAGTAAACGTGACCATACTTGACAGGGCAGAGAAGAAGGCAGCATCCTCTTCCTCATCGTGTGAAGAAGAGCCGCCAACATCCCCGGTGTGGTCCCACTCCAGAGGGATGGAATCCACACTCACGGGGGTTTCACGGCCCGGGCGCTCCTGAGGTGGCGATAACAGGCACATGGAGGGCTGGCTGGAGGGGAGGGTGCCCTGTGTCCCTCTGGACTGTTCACCATCAAAGACGACCTCCTGCAGCTGCTTCAAAGAGAAAATACTGTCATTCATGCATTCATACTCCTATAACATGGCCCATATACAAAGTTATTTGCACAATTCTACCACATTTGTCCCTGTAAAAATAAGTTTAAAGAAAAATACACTACCCTTTAAAAGTTTGGGGATTTTTTAAAATGTTTATTTTTTTAAGTCTCCAAGAGACTTAACTGTAATAATTATTTCACAATATTAACATTTGTACTATTTATATATATTTTTCTATTTTTAAAAAAGCAGAATTTTCGGCAGCCCTTACTTACTAACCCCAAAACTTCTGAATGGTAGTTTAGCACAAACACTTTTCAAGGAAGCTAATTCACAAAAAGGTTCAAAAGGGTCTCAAAATATCCAAATACATTTAGAACCACAGTATGTTACATAAGACAATGTAAAAAAATGTGAGCGTTTATAATACCGGGCGGAGACTGGTGAGGCGCTGGTGGAATCGGGCCACTCTGCCAAACACCTCTTGACAGTACGTGTGCAGTTCCTCTAACTCATCTTCTATCTCAACAGCGTCTTGAGGACAGCTCCTCTGAATCAGACCCTCCCCAAACACGATCAGAGCATCAATCTTATTGGTGTTCAGAGTGATCTCCTTCTTAAAACTCTGGAGAGTAAGAAAGTTCAGTTAAACTCTGTCATCATTTATTCTTTCTATCTAAAGACTAAACGTCTTAATTTCAAGGAAACACTGTTTATTAACCTTCAGCTGTTTCATCTTGTCTTGGAGATGGCTCTCTGAGAAGTTCTCCACATTGGTCAGCTGGAGGTCTATCTCAGTCAGCCAGACAAGGAGGCTCTCACGGGTTCCCTCAAACTCTTCTCTCTGGCTTGTGAAATGCTAAATGAGAAAAAGAGGTTAATTTATGCACTCAAGTAAACATAAATGCACAGGTGACATAGTGTGCCCGTGTCCTCACTCTGAGTCTGCGCAGGATTGCAGCCACTCTCCTCTGGAGCGTGTCCCATCGCTGGTTCCCATGATGCACCATGGCCCTGAGTCTGCTGGCTGCATCGGCGCGGTTCTCCCGCGCCAGTCGTCTGTACTGGTTATTAATAATCTCCAGCTGGGTCAGGCTCTCATGTACCTGCCTTTGGAAAACCTAAAACGACAAATCAAACACTACTAACTATGACCACAAACTGCTATTACTGTATACTCTATTAAATCAAAGCTGGATATTCAAAAACATCTACTTTAACACTCAATTTCCATGCAAATAGTGAGTGTTTTTAACATTTCTGAAGTCATGCATGAATGACTAAAACATTCAATAAATTAGATAGATGATAGGGCTGTGCAATTAATCGCATGCGATTGTCATGCGCATCTCGTCAGTAAAGCCGGTTCCGGGAATTGGTAGTAAATCTCCATCACCTGCTTTCAGATGGAGCGGCATTTACTACACAGAGCCGTAGTTCACTGACAAGCTAGGCAATATCGCGTTCATAATCGAATGCTAATCATCTGCGATTATGAACGCGATATTGCCTAGCTTGGCAGGTGATGGAGATTTACTACTAATCACGGAACCGGCTTTACTGACGAGATGCGCATGACAATCGCATGCGATTAATTGCACAGCCCTAATAGATGACTGCTTGAGGAATCTGATATTCCCTTAATCATACTGATCGTGTTCCTAAAACATCAGGATTTAACATCTGACTTGCACTAAATGATGTAAACATAATGGTCCAGTAGCACAGCCATTCGAAGGCTCTTAGTTAAGCATTTTGTTGGAATCAAACCTCATATTTCTGGAGTTCCTCTTTGGCGTCAGTGTACGTCCTGTCTGATGAATTGGGTTCAGCAGCGGAGCGCTCTGCTACGTTCAGCCAGTTCTCAAAGGAAGAGTAATCTTCCTGAAACTTACACCACAGTCTCCATGTCTCCTCAATCCTGCAAACAGACATAAGTAATTAAAAACAAATAGTCTGTTATATAAATGTATATTTAAAATGAAATCATAATAATAAACAATGTAATTTAATACTTTAATACTCGATGTGCATGTGTGCACTTGAAAATACATTAATTTATCTGTACTGTAATTCATGTTATGCTTATTTATCAAATATATGATGTCATATTCCTCAAAAGCATAATCTGTTGAACTCAAATGTTTGGTGAGGTTACAGGGCATTAAAAATGAACACATTTTATCATGCAAAACAAACTTTTACCAATATCTCTGGTTTAATAGCGAGCTGTGAATCTTAATCAGGAAAGAAGTTTCTTAATCTTGAAATTTCCTTCCATAAAGGAATGCAACAGAATGACTAAACATCTGTTAGCAGTGATGGTGTGTTTCAGATTGGAGTCATCTGAATAAATAGCCATACCTCAGCCTCCTCTCCAGAGACATGGAGCAGATATTTCTCCAGCGCTTGTCCAAGCGCTGCATGGTCTGCTGGATGGAGTCATTCTCTCCATCGCTGCTGCTGCAGGCATCCTCATCGCGCAGAAGCACGTCACACAGGGTGAGCACAGACGCCACTCTCTCGGTGTGCTGCTCGATGTCACGCTGCAGGTCCTAAACATGCACACATATGTTAAAGACATACTTGACACTTTATCAAACAGTTGAAAGATAAGTGTATTGTTATAATATCAGTAGTATATGTAAATAAATAATTGTTGCAGAAAAAAAAACTTCCACATATTTGGTAATCCTGCCCATGGACAGTAAGACTGACAAATCAGAAGTGCATTGTGAACGTTTAAGTTTTTGGCAAAAGGGAACGCTGCAGCCCTTTTTCTGATTTCAAAATGTTTTCACTTTTACACTGTTTTATTGAAAGCTCAATGAATTAGCCCTTTAAACAGTCTGTATATCATGAAAAAGAATAATAATTCATTTCAATTACAGACAATTAAAATAATAAATTATTAATAACTTAATCAATTTTGATTCATTATAAAAAAAAACATTCCCTATCAAGTATTTTTGATTTCCAGAAAAAATAAAATAAAATCACAACATTCCTCAAACAAGACAAATTCACCCGATAAGAAAACTAAATTATATTAAGGATTCTTTTCAGACAATATGTGACCCGGGACCACAAAATCAGTCATAATGGTCTTTTTTTTTATTGAAAGCTGAATAAATAAGCTTTCCATTGAGTTGTTAGGATAGGACAATATTTGGCTGAGATACAACTATTTGAAAATCTGGAATCTGAGGGTGCAACAACAAATTTTTTTTTTTTGAGAAAATCACCTTTAAAGTTGTCCAAATGAAGTTCTTAGCTATACATATTACTAATAAAAAATTAAGTTTTGATATATTTATGGTAGGAAATTTAGAAATTTATGTATTATGGAACATAATCTTTACTTAATATCCTAAAGATTTTTGGCATTAACATTTTTTATAATTTTGACCCATACAATGTATTGTTGGCTATTGCTACAAATATACCCCAGTGACTTAAGACTGGTTTTGTGCTCCAGGGTCACATATATCTGGAATAAGTTGTTGAATTGGCAGAATTTTTCAGAATTTATGCATAAAAAAAAATGTAATAAAAATGTGCCAGTCCCAAAAGACAATATACAATTACACTAATCTACAATCCGGTATTTCAGCCAATTAAATCTTCTATTATATCATTTTTTTTAAATTCGTGATTTGCTGACCTGTTGCTCAGCAAGTCTCTTTTGGATCTCATCTCTATGGCAGATACTGTAGTGAATGGGTTTGGCCAGCTCAGCTTCAATGCGAGTGAGCCAAGAGCGAAGGTTATTCATGTTCTTATCCAACTGCTGCACTGTCACCAGCGTTTCTGTCAGCTTTTTCACCCTGAAAGAGAGAGAGATTGCATATTCATTTTGATTCCAGAGCATTATCAAATAGACCATTTTGGAAAAAAACTTGTGATAACAAATCTTCTTGGATATTTTGATGAAAACCTGAATGTGTCCAAAAGTCTTTTATAACCTCCACTAGATTAAAATGTATTTTCTGTGACAAAGAAATAGTCATTTTTTAAAGAAAAGTACTAACCCCTTTATAAATCAGTCAAGTGATCGTTTTCTTTGGAATCTGAGACTGTGTAGTTTGGAAGGAACCCAATGAAATCCTGTCAAAGTGTGGCGCTCTACACTTGACGTGAAACACAACAAAAAAAAAAGGTCTGATAAGTCCAGGTCAGATGACACTGAAACACAGACAAAGGGTGTTCGTCCCATAGGGATTAGATCGAACCATTTAAGTGTGACAGTGGGAAGCTTCTCGTTCTGTTGTTTGATTGACCGCATGGCCTCACAAACTGTCTGAGCAGCCATACCTGCAGATGGCCGGCTGTGTGATTATAGCGTGCCTGAGTACATACGGTCCCCCTGGCCCCATTGTGCCCCTGTTCATAAGAGATAATATGAGGTCACAGACCATTGCCCCCCACCACCCCCTCCCAGCTATACAGTGTGACTAGGACAAACCATACAATCCATATGGCAAAGCTGAAGCCAACGACACTAGTGAGGGTTACGTTAATTCCCCCCTCCTTCAGTATTAGCACCATCTGGCTGTTTCAGAACACGTCACACCGCAAGACTGACCAATTACATGAGAGGCTGGTGACATTGTAGACAAGATTGGAAAGCATTGAGTTGTTTGTTTGCTTGCTTAGGACCACCACCTGATTCATATACTCGGTATGTGCAAATTTCCAACTGACTTAATGAGATTATGATTATTAGAGCATATGCCAGCTGTGGTAACCATCCATAGTACTGAAGATCACATCAAATTCTGAAGATATAAATGAGTACATGGAGAAAAAAATAAGTAAATTAGTTATATTAGTGGGGAAAGCTTGCTGTAAATTGGCAAGGAGAAATTAATAATATGATATATTCTAGCATATCTACTATTAACTGAACTTAGCGTAAGTCATCTATAACACTGGGACATAGAAATATGACATTTCCTAAAAATAATAATAATAATAATAATAATAAAATAAAATAAAAAAATAGTCTAGCGAGGCAACTTGCTCCACATTAGGGGTGAATTGCATCCAGGGTCTGATTTCATTTCAATGTAAATGAGACAAAAAAAATTCTAAAGTCTTTTTATAAAGCAGTGAGGAAAAGGTTAAATATTCATAATGTTTCAATATAGTGAACGAGTTTTAAACACTTTAACAGTACCAGTGTTATTTTGGTATAATGTATACACAACTATAGTATTTATTTATATTTTGAATTAGCTTTTATTTTTATATTAAGTTTTCATTTTAATTGTAATAAATTTTTATCGCTATATTTTATTTGCTTTTGGTTAATAACAACATTGAACAATAATTGCAATAATAATAATAATAATAATAATAATAATTCAATATTCAGGGGTTAAAGCAAAAAAAAAGCCTGAGCCTGAACTTTTTTCCGGGGGTTGGGGGTTGCGGGGGCAGACACATACACAGGGTTATATGGCACACAAAAAAAGAAAATTATTTTCCTTGAAACTAACTAGTAACGTATCTGCCATTGCCATTAGCCCTTGACAGGCTCAGACTACAGATTATGGTGGGATATTTGAAACCGCAATACCAAGAAAGGTTACTCACTACAATACGGTGCAAACACATGTAACATTTAGGATGCTTTTGAAATCAAGTTTTGCTGGTTAGCTTTGTCCTTGACAGGGTACAAGATGACCTACAATCTAAAACATGACATTTCTGAAATTGTTTTGTTCAAAATAAATAATGGTAAATTAAATACTAGGAAACAAATATAAAATATACAAAGACAGTGCATACACTTGGAAAATTATGAGCTTTATCACGCTCATAGACACTAGGGGTGTGACAATACACTTAGCTCACAAGGTGAGATAAAATGCAGATACTTGGTTCACTAGAACGAGAATGTTTTAATACTTTAAGAAATTTTCAAATGACAAAATATTTGTCTTTTTAATCACAAAAAGTAAAACAATGCAGTTGTATTTTGAAATGTTTGAACTAATCTAGTGCTTAACTAATGATTATTTTGCTAATCAAGTAATCTGATTATTTTGACAAGTGAGTAATCTGATATTTTTTAGTAATACAAATAAAACTAAGTGGAAAAACAGGCTTTAATATGACTATATTTATATATAAAGTAACGATGAGGCAATAATAATTGGCCTCAAATAAAAGTATCAAAACCAAGTACATGGTTTTATTGAACAACACTGTTAAACACATAATGTAATATGCCTAGTGGTTCAACGGATCGCAAATCTCATGGTCCGGATCACATTACGGTTTTGAAAAATATTTCAATCTAACTTGCTTTCTATTTATTACTTAAAGCGAAGTACTTTGATACCACAGCAAATACTACTAGATTAACTAAGAAAGTTTAAACATGATTAAAGAGACAAGAGAACAGCCAGTGAAAATAAGAACAAATACACAAATTACAAGCATAGATAAATACAACAGAATATGTTACAAATAAAATACGGTTGGTAGTATTCAAATACAGAAATGTAATAATTAGGGAAAATAACACTGCATAGTGTTCACTGTATAAATTAAATATAGATTTTTATCACAGCTGTTTTGTTCTTTGATGATCATTAATGACAGCAGCAGTATTTATAGGCCGCTGTCCCTTTAAGACCTGATGCACGGATCCGATATAATGATACACTTCACATCCAATTTCTTTCTCAGCTGTTTTCATTCACTTGAGACATAACTGACTGCGTTTACCTGATTGTCGAGATGGGTATTTTGTTATCATTTTATGTGTATGTGTCTGTTCAGAGGATTAAGAAGAGGATTCAATTCGGTGTTCGCACGCCGTCTGAAACGTTGTTTAAAATTCACTTGCTTGTGTAAATACGAACAAATGATAAACTTATACTCTATTATGGTTAAATTTTGCAATTATTCCACGGATCATATGCGTGCCAAACCGTGGTGCTTGGTCCGTACGGATCAACTACGATCCGTTTAACCACTAAATATGCCTATATTATAACCTGCAGAGGGCACCAACGGCCTGGTGATATTTCATGTGATTCAACGACATTTAAATCCATTTAATTTTAATATATGGCCACATGAAAAGTCAGAAAACTTTATTTTGAAATCGCGATGTATAATAAATCGCATATTTAGAAATATGTTGATGTATTCTCCTGTGTTGGCATAGGTTTAAATGATTTACGTTACAAATCAAGTGAGTTTTCCCAGATGAACGTTAATTAAGCAACCCAAACTCACCGCATATGCAGAGGAAGAGTTAAGCCCCTTTCACACATACAGTCTTTACTGGTAAATTACCGGGAAGTTACCATTAAGAGATCATGTGTGAACATGACCCTTTCAAAAATCCCGGTAAATTCGTTCTGGCAATCATATCGTTCTTATGGAGATGACGTGATAGAGCTGTCTACAGCTCCGCTGCTTTTATAATAGATTTTCTATGTAAATATGACGCTAGATGGAAACTTTGACCATTGCGCCTCGCAGCTTTTTCAATGTGTCGCGCTCGAGACCTGACTATTAAGGGTGTATTCTGGGTTATTTTTACCTTAAAGGGATAGTTCACCCAAAAATTAAAATTTGCTGTATTTACTCACCCTCAGGCCATTCAAGATGTAGGTGAGGTTTTTTCTTCATTAGGACAGTAAAGAAGATTTTTAGCTGAAACTGTGGTCCTTGGTGATTCATAAAATGCAAGTCAATGGCTACCGGCACTTCGAGAGTCAAAAAAGCACATACAGTCAACACAAAATGAATACCTATGACTCCTGATGATATATTGAGGTAGTGCTGGGCGGTATGACCAAAACTTTATATCACGGTATTTTTATAATGTTATAATCGCAGCATCACAAATCTCACAGTTCGGATCACATTACGGCTTTTGAACCACGGATCGGATAATTTTTCGGATCAGCAAGAAAAGAAAAATATTTCAATTTAACTTGCTTTATTTTTATTTATTACTTAAAGCAAAGTACTTATTTGATACCACAGTAAATACTACTAGATTAACTAAGAAAGTTTAAACATTATTAAAGAGACTAGAGAACAGCCAGTAAAAATAAGAACAAATACACAAATTACTAGCAGATAAATACAGCAGAATATGTTACAAATAAAATAAGGTTGGTATTATTCAAATACAGGAATGTAATAATTAGGGAAAATAACACTGCATAGTGTTCACTGTATAAATTAAATATAGATTTTTATCACAGCTGTTTTGTTGTTTGATGATCATTAATGACAGCAGCAGTATTTATAGGCCGCTGTCCCTTTAAGACCTGATGCACGGATCCGATATAATGATACACTTCATTCTTTCTCACTTTCTCAGCTGTTTTCATTCACTTGAGACATAACTGACTGCGTTTACCTGATTGTCGAGATGGGTATTTTTTTATGTGTTTATGTGTATGTGTCTGTTCAGAGGATTAAGAAGAGGATTCAATTCGGTGTTCGCACGCCGTCTGAAACGTTGTTTAAAATTCACTTGCTTGTGTAAATACGAACAAATGATAAACTTATACTCTATTATGGTTAAATTTTGCAATTATTCCACGGATCATATGCGTGCCAAACCGTGGTGCTTGGTCCGTACGGATCAACTACGATCCGTTTAACCACTAAATATGCCTATATTATAACCTGCAGAGGGCACCAACGGCCTGGTGATATTTCATGTGATTCAACGACATTTAAATCCATTTAATTTTAATATATGGCCACATGAAAAGTCAGAAAACTTTATTTTGAAATCGCGATGTATAATAAATCGCATATTTAGAAATATGTTGATGTATTCTCCTGTGTTGGCATAGGTTTGTTTTCCCAGATGAACGTTAAGCAACCCAAACTCACCGCATATGCAGAGGAAGAGTTAAGCCCCTTTCACACATACAGTCTTTACTGGTAAATTACCGGGAAGTTACCATTAAGAGATCATGTGTGAACATGACCCTTTCAAAAATCCCGGTAAATTCGTTCTGGCAATCATATCGTTCTTATGGAGATGACGTGATAGAGCTGTCTACAGCTCCGCTGCTTTTATAATAGATTTTCTATGTAAATATGACGCTAGATGGAAACTTTGACCATTGCGCCTCGCAGCTTTTTCAATGTGTCGCGCTCGAGACCCAGGCTTCTTTTCCATTCATCAGCTAATGCTAATGCGTCTCATATTTTTTTTATGTTTATAAGAGCAAAAACTTCTGATTAGCTAGTAATGTTAGTTTGGTTGAGAGTGAAAGCTGTGTTCCTCTCATACATTGGTAGGCGAACTCATGAACTCGAACGTGATATCAACAAGTGTTTTTAAATGTAGGACAACTTTTTTTCCCGCAGTCAAACGCCGCACGCCGGACATCCGGCACGGTGCCGGAGAACTTTAAGCCCTGAATATTGTTATATACTAGTATTTCCCAAATTTTTTGCAATTAAAGGCTTTTCATATACGCATTTCTAACTACAGGCATTAATGGCTGGACAAAGGAACTTCTTACACCAGTTTCCTCTACATGTTTATATTTGCACAGGAAAGAGTTATTTTCCCAGCATCAGCTTTTTGAACTACTTGCTAACCATCTACTGATCACAACAGTCTCACACTGAAAGCTTAAGCACTTTCTGTTTATCAGTCTGGATAAAAGAATCTGTTAAATGCCTCAAATTAATATAAAAGTCTAATCAAAGGCTTTATCACCACCAACAGGTCTAAATGAGGCAGAAATGCACAAATGAAAGAATCAATCAATCAGTCAGTCCTTGAATGGAAACCAGAAGTGATGAAGACATTTAAAGGGGTCATATGATGCTGCTAAAAAAAACATCATTTTGTGTATTTGGTGTAATGAAATGTGTTTATGCGGTTTAAGGTTAAAAAAACACATTATTTTCCACATACTGTACATTATTGTTTCTCCTCTATGCCCCGCCTTTCTGAAACGCGTCGATTTTTACAAAGCTCATCGTTCTGAAAAGCGAGGTGTGCTCTGATTGGCGAGCATTTTCCAGTGCAATCCGAATTCCTCAAGCGTGTGACGGAAATGTTACGTCCCTTACCATATTGTGATGCCTGCGGCAACCACATGTGACGACACCGGGCTGGACTTTGCTTCGTCCACAGTGAAAGCCGATCTGACGATCGACAGCGCGAAGTTGAAGTATTTCCTCAGCGACCAGCACGGATCAGCTCCAGGCATGACGAAGCAGATATCGTCCTCTTTTGGAAGGCCAAACAAAGTAATTTCGCTTTCACAACGAAGCACACATCACCTTCACGACATGGCAACAATACTACAGCGAGAATAAAAGTTACGCTTTCTTTCTTTGCGTGAACATTTGGGCGGCATTATGCAAATCTTCCCACATCGTGACGTAGATATGTGGGGGCGTGTTAGAACGAGGCGTTTTAGGTAGGTGTGGCTGACTCTTAACTTTTATAAAGAATATCTCTTTGGATTTGAGACTTTAGTCTTTGCAACTTTACAGATCTTCTTTACGCACCAAGAGCTTGTAACACTCCAAAGAGAAAGAAAAAAATTTGAAATCGCATCATATGACCCCTTTAAACAAACAAAGAGCTTTGATCAGCCATTAAGCAATGGATACAGAGCAACAATAGCAAACATCAGGCAAAACGTAAAGAAATGAGTTTGATCAATTTAGCATTTATTCCTCAAAGCATTTATTCACCACAGTTCAGTTAGGCTCATTTGTTTTTTTGCTCACCTGGCCTCAATGTGGTCGAACAGGTGCTGCCAGCGGTCGTTGACATCTTGCAAGGCCCCGTGGATCTCTGCCTCCTTAGCCTTGTCGCTGGCCAATAGGAGCTGCTCGCCCAGCTGCTTGAGGTGGCTCTTGTTCTTGCTGAAGAGGTTAATCTCCTCCATGCAGTCCTGAAGAGAGATGTGCACAATGAGCAGCGGCCTCTCGTGTGCTTTAGTCATTAACACATCCATCCCAAACAAAACCGACAGCTGTCAAAACCATGTTCCTTCTCTTAGCATGAGCCCTCATTTAAAAAAAAAGAAAAGAAAAGAGGAACAATTATTCACACTGACCCCTTGGCGGCCCAAATCCTTTTCATTATCCTCTCTGCTTTTAAGGGTTCACCTGTTTTGTTTAGTCCAACCTGGCTCACTTTGAACGGCAGGCAGCAGAGCTATTATACTATTATATAGCTATTATATAGATGGCACTGGCCATCAGTAACTGAGCTAGAAAGAGACAATGGCCAGTTTTCTGATATGTGATCATTAGTGACGTGGCCTGAAACCCTCCAAAACCTCCACGGTAAACTACATGCTAATGACTGCAGAGTGCTTGAGGTTGCACTGTTTGATGGTGAGAAAGAAACTGCACATACGAGGCTATTGTTGCGTATGAACAAAGAGGTAAACACATGAACAGAGTTATGCAGTACAGCACTCTGCCCTCAATTTTATAGTACATGCAGTAAACTAGATTAGAGCTAATCTATGATGTTTAGAAAACAATGTACATTTGTAGCATGTTTGAGTATAAATGAACAAATGCTATGTGAGTGGATAGAACAGAGCCTCTGTGAAATGTAAAATCTGTGGGGCCTCCCTTGGGAACGCTTAAGCGTGCTGTTCATTTGAGACTGCTTTAATCCTTCATAGATACTCATAATAGCACACACCATATAACTGGCCTACTTAAGCTCCTTACAAATGTACAACAGAAACTCACCATGACAAAGGCACATGGAAATAGACCCATGTGACGCTTTTTCCTGAAATTATCTTAAAGTGACATGTTGTTATGGTTATGTAACTATAAAAACAGGGGGTTTAGCAATTAAATTAATTACTAATAAATGTATACTTTTATTAAGCAAGGGTGCATTACATTGATCAAAAGTGACAGCAAAGATATTTATATAATTCTTAATAAAATTATAATTTTGAAATATGCAGTTCTTATCAAACATCAAACAGTTCAAAAAATATATATATAAAGTTTCCATGAACATATTATGATTTGACATCTGACATACCATGATATAAATATAAATGATTTTTGAAAGATCATGTGACAGTGAAGTAATGGCTGCTGAAAATTCAGCACCGTCATCAAAGGAATTTTAAAATATATTAAAACAGAAAGCAGTTATTTTAAATTGTAATAATATTTCATGATATTACTGTTTTACTGTATTTTTGATCAAATAAATACAGCCTTGGTGAGCATAAGAGATTTCTTTAAAAATATCTTATAGACCCTTATAGAACTTTTGACGGGAGGTAGTGCAAGTTGTGTTTATAGAACAAAAGGCTGAGTGGGAATTTTCATTTTTGGATGAACTTTCCCTTTAAGAAGTTAAAAAAAAAAATCATAGCAATTAAGAAAACCAAACTCTACCTTTTTAAGTTTCTCCACCATTTCCTCAATACTAAGGTTTTCGCCCCTGTGTGCCACTTTTTTCTCCATCTGCGTCAGCCAATCACAGAGTTCCTTGTCTTTATCATTGAAGATGATCCAGGCATTCAGGCGATCAGCTATTTCCTGCTTGCGAAGTGACACCTACACATTAGAGGAAGAATAAAGGGTTAAAATGCTTCAGTATGACAAAAATATTAAAACATTTTCTTACAGTAAAGACAGAAAAGTTTCCCAGATATCAGCACTGGTAATGACGTTTCATTTTTCATTATAATGACATTTATTCATTCAGGAAATATCTTTGAGAGCATATGGCCTACTCTCAAGTGCTAGAGAGAGTACAGAAGAACTTGCACTCTTTGTGGCTGGTTCACTACCCCAATTCACACATGAGAAAAGACTTGAAAACAACTCCGTACAAAGGTGTCAGGTTACAACTATATGACTTTATTCTTTAAAAGCAGGCCATCCGAAAAGGCTTTTAACGAAACTCATCTCACGCTGTGAGATTGATTACTGGACTGTTAAGCAAAAGAGTAAAAAGCAAAGGCCCACTCGCTTTTACTGCTTTCTGTCAGTAAGGGGCTTGTCTATTAGTATGTACTAATACCAAGACACACTAGGGGACACGGGCTTACATGCAGCCTTTTAAAAAGAACGAAGGCATTTTCCATGCTACATTTGTCAGTGAAGGCTATACGTTTTCCTTGATCCATTAATGTCACACTTAGAGCTGTAAGAGAACGTGATATTGTAGTTTCTTCAAAACAAGAATATTCATCATGAGTTTAAAAGAAAGCACAAGGACATTGAGGTTAGTTGATCACTTCTATTCACAGCCTTTTTTTTGAACGCATTATTGATGCATTTCCTTCAGCCCAAGCCACTTGCCCCAACACATATGCAAAGACAAAGAAAAGAAAAACAAGGCCTAGCTTTGCCATCTGTTATTCATTCCAGGGAATGTTTCCACCTGCAACCTGTTGGCCGCAGATACTGACACGCAATGTTGACTGACCTCATTGGCTCGGTTCTGGCATCCGGCCAGAATTTCAAATAAAGACAGGACTGAAAACTCACAACAACAACTCCACAAATTGGAAAAAGGGTTAATTAAACAAGGCACCCTGCGTTATGTGGTGACAAGACCAAGGCCATGCAACGATCTGTTCTAAATGTGGCCTTTCTGTTTTTAATTGCTCAGGCCGTTTACAGTTACAAGTGCAACTCCATTCAAACGTCAGCGGGCCATTCAGCTTACTTAATGATGGCAGACCGGACACCTGCGCTAGACAGATAATCTCAGAAAAAAGTCCTCAATCAGCCTTTACAATGCCTGGGAAGCAACTTAAAAAATGGGCTACATAAGTAATGCATATTGAAGTGTGAGTTAAAATAGACCTTATTTTATTTAATAAATGCGTCTCTTGTGCTATATTTCAAGTCTTCTGAAGTCATATGATAGCTTGGCATGAGTAAATAACATTAATTTAAGGCATTATTCAATAAAAAAAAAATCTAATCTTTTCATTGTACTGGTTCAATCAGTTCACAAAACTGGTCTGATTCTGAAAGATTTGATCATGAATTTAACTGATCAAGTTTTTGAGTTCAACTGTTCGTTAATGACTTAATAATTCTTCTGTAGTGGTAACATCCTAACAGATGAAAATAATTCCAAGTCTTCTGAATCTGATAAGTTATGCCGGTGAACGTCTTAATCTCAGTCAATTCACTATGCAGAAAGTGAAAGTAAAAACGGAATGACGGAGTAACAGCTTTCGCAATCTGACGCCACATATTCTCTCAGAGACGCCGAGAGACGAATCTACTTCAACATATGCTAATAATGGTATATAGCTAACTGTTTTTTATTCCCTTAAGATTTCTCTTGTGGCCCGTACATAGTGAAAAAAAAGACAACAAACGTATTTCGTGTTAAACAGGTTGTTTTTGAAAGTCGGTGCTTGAAATAAAAGCTTTTTATTTCATTGATTTTTATTGATGACACATTTTATTGATGATTCATTGCACATAGACCTGCTTTTAAAAACCTTTTTTTAAACATTTTAATTGAGCAGTAAATAGCCTAATCTTTTGTTATCCTCGCAGCGCGTCATTTGCGCGGTAATATTTTTTGTTAATTTTGCAAATGAATTGTAATTTTTATTTAATAAGAAAAGTAACTTCATAATAATAGTAGGCCTAATAAAAATAAGAAAGTAACAGGCCTACATTAATTGGAAATACCAAATCCTCTTAATATTGCCAATAATTGATGTTTTTGACAATATCTCTGGCTATCGTCGATACAAGTTCATCGTCTTTCGACGCACCCTAGCAAGAGGAGGTTATTGCAGGGCAGCTAGGCAGACGTCACGTTGACTCTTACATCGTTTGGGCTGCCTTTTTGAGCGCAGTGGCACTGAGAACATTATATTTCACACACTTTAAGCTCTTTTATTTTCCATATGTCCAACGAATTGTTCGGTTTGTAATGTGTACCGAATCGAAAGCCTTGTACCGAACGGTTCAATACGAATACACACACATACACGCTAAAAAATCCTGGGTTATTTTTTTTAACCCAAATGCTGCATTTTTTGGGGGTTATTTTTTCAGTGTTTGGGTAGTTTTTGTGTTACTCGGCTCCTGGGTCAAATGTAACAACCCAATGTTTGGGTACATATGTTGTACTGTATGTTGGGTTTGAGCAACATACAGGCGCGCGGTGTAATCACCTAACGTCGGTCTTATTGCATGATGGAAAAGCCTAATACTCTGCATAAAATAAACGATTTTATTAAAGAAGATACAGAATACAAATACTTTGGATGTTAAAATATTTCCTCAGAGCTGTTTACTGTTTGTTTTGGACAGGTTATGAAGGCAGTGGCAGTATATTTTGGCTATGAGTGAAACGCAGGGCGGCGGTCTCAGCCATGAGCAGTTCCCCACCGAACATGACTCCAGCTCGGGCACGAGAGCCAGCGCCGTTACGGTGGAAACAGAAAAAGTTGTACCGTGAGGATGTGTTGCAAATGTTATTCACCGATTCTGACTCTGAAGGGGAATATTTGCCTTTCGGAAATGACGATCGGTCGTCTAATAATCGTGCTTCTCCCGGTACATCTTTGCAGCGCAATGGTGCCGCCGTGCAAGGCGAGAGTGTTCACGAAGCACAAACAATTGATCATTTCGACCCTTTGCCCAACGGGGATGAGGGTGGCAGGGGAGAATGTGGTCGTAGTGTCCATAGGAGAGCTTTTTCTAGAGGTAGAGCCGGTAGGGGTAGGAGAAATAGGGTTGGAAGTAGCACTAGCTGCCTCAAAGAGGTGGGAGTGGCCATGGTACACGTGGCCGTGCTGTGCGTGGGAGAGCCGGGAGACGTGGTATAGGCAGCAGGGGTGATCTGGATCTAAATAAGGCTGGAAATAGCGATGACAATGGTGGCTGGGTTTATTTGAGAAATTAAGAAGTGTATCAGGACTGGATCAAACGCTTTGATGAGCCTGTTGGTAATTTAGTGCTTTCTCCTGTTTTATTGTTGGTTTCCCCTTTTCTGATCATTTGGAATGAGGATAAAAAGATTTTAAAAAACAACAACATGCAAATAAGTTTAAACATCAATTCAATATCTACTATTTCCTGAATATTATGAAATTCAAGATGGCCGCCTCTGATGACGTCATAATATGCTAATTAAACGAGTATATTTACACCCCACATAAACTTTCGGTCATGCCCAACATTTTTCTAATTTATAGTAGATCTCTATATTTAAGCCCTTTGAAGCCACAAGCTTTTGAAATCTTGATGTCAAAATCTAGCATTTCTCCCAAAAATCCCTGGCGCCTAAAGGGTTAAGTTAATCTGTAAACATTATTTCATGTATAAAGTAAAAAATA